ATCTATTGTATCTTTTTTTTTCTGATTAGTTAGAGTGCCACGTGTCAAAAATGATTTTGCACTGAAAATGGTTTTTGACGGGAAAATTTTCATTGTGATGCTGACACATGTCCTTTTTGTTTGTTGCTTTAATTAAGTACTATAGATAGAGTTTTCTTTAGAACTAGATGTTAAACCCGTGCGATGCGCGGGATTTATTTATATACATTATAAAAAATCTACAAAAAAAATATAAAAAGTGTAAAATGAATTTTACTATTTTTATTTATAATCTATCAGTAATGTAGGTGTTTTGGAGTATATTTTACTATCCAAAATTTTACTATCTAAATGTGGAAATAAATAATGATAAATTGGGATTGATGATAATTGATTATCCAAAATTTCAGTGATAAAGATAAAGTTTATAACAACTTTTGAGATATTATTAAGAAAAGATTATATTTATTTGGGTAAATATGATATTACACAAATAAATGCATTGGTTTGAAATTCAAAAGATAATATTTAATTATAGTTAAATCCCATCCTTTTAGTAATAATTGAAGGCAAGTTTTGTACCTTTTTTTCTTTTTTTATTGGTGAAAAATACAGGGTCATGTTTTTGGGAGAAGATTTTAAAGATAACATTAATGTTGAATGATTGGTTTTTTTTTTTTTTTGAATTGTAGTCTATTGATTTACATGATTGGGAGAGAGATTTTTTTTTTTAAAGAAATTAATTAAATGAGTCCAGTAGTAACTTTGGGGATTCTTTTGGGGAGGGAATAATTCTGGTGCATTAATGTTCATTAATCCCGGCCATTAAATTTAATTAATTTTTATTTTCCTATTTTAAACTATAATTTTAAATGCCATTTGATAAAACTTTATTTACATAAAATTTGAAAGACTATTAGTATAATTGTTGCAAATATTTTTTGACTCAACTATTAGAAAAATGACACATAGAATTTTATCCTATGTGACACCTTTAAAATTCTTTTTTATTTTCTCTCTCTGGTTTTTCTTTTAGTATAATATATATTATAGATAACTCTTCAGGTCCACTAACCACCACAAATAACGGATTTTAATCTACTTTTTCCAGTACCCATTAGGGAGCTCTTTACTGTAAAATACAAAACAAAAAGAAGGGTTTGCTGTAAAGGGTTGGAGATGGTCTAAGCAAAGACATGACATTTGACATCTAATCTACATGAGACGCCAAATCCAGCCATCCTTTTGCACATTTAATATTGGTTTCGTACATCTCACAACTTTGATCAACAATTTGCAAATGTATTGTACATTAATTAACCAACAACCTCATTATTATGAATTATTATAAAGATGCTAGATGACCAGTAGTTCTGTAATGCTAGATGACCAGTAGTTCATTACAGAAAGTTTAATTCTTTCTTGCATTTCTTCGAATAGCAATGGTGAATAGCTAAGTACATAGTAAAATACCATTTTTATTCGTTAATGATCAATAGTCTCATCATCTGTTAGGATTATTTGAATTTATAAGTGGTCAGTGATCTTAATGTATGATTTAGAAGGATAATATTAATGTTAGTAAATTTCATAGATATTTTATATTTAGTACGTAGTGGTGAGATAATAGGTTTTTGCGGCACTAAGGTCCTTTCTCGTGACACTTTATACCATAACAAATCTATAATTATGTGTAAATTTTGTAATTGTACTAGTATTTACATTATTTTGGAATTATTTTCACATCGAACAATTATACACACATGGGAAATTTTACAAATAAAAGGGACACGAATGATCAATTTGATTTGTTTGTAATACTTTTCTATTTTAGGTCCATGCATTTAAGGTTATGAGAATGATTTAAATGAGTGACACATTATTTCTTCTAAAATTTTCTTGTATCTTTTCTGCCCATTTATCAATACTCTTAAACGTATGTATACTTAAATAAAACCACTAATTTTTCTTAAACTTATGTTCTATTTATTTTAATTCGTATTGTTGAAAAATTCAATTAGATTTATTAAATTGTAATAAAATATGCAAACACACACACACACACACAGTTGTTTTATGTCACTCTTAAAAGTAGGATATGAAAACAATCTCGTTTGCAATTAATTTGGTGATGTTCAACAACATATATATCATTTTTTTTCAAAAAAAAAACATTCAAAAAGAGTTTTCTCACAAGACATATTCATGACAACAATTTCATACTAATTGTATTTCAAAATGACTCTTTTATTTAGATTTTTACCTTTATTATAAATTAAATAATTATTTTGGATTGGTAGGAATACGAGGTATATAACTATAACTATTCGAACGAGAACATGGACACTAAAACAAACAATTACTTACAAACTAATCCCATTTTACTAGTACTCTATGAAGATTTATGTTATGAAATTGGACTACTATTTATAAAAAAAAAATAAATTTTTTCGGTACTTATTATAAGACATTTTGATTTGTCATAAGAATTTTTTAATTTTTTTTTTTTACAAATCGGTAATCATATATAAAAGAAAAAAGAAAAGAGGATTACAACCATATGGTTGGCTAATCAACTGTAAAGATTGAGCAATATTAATATGAGTTACACACTTTAGCTAATTACAGAGAAGATACATTCATCTGTTTTACAACTAGATAAAGCTAAATTGATTCGATTGAGACAAAAATTTTAATTACAGAGATAGAGATTAACCCAAAATTACACCAAAGTTAGATAATATAAAAAGCACAATTACAATTAAGAATTCAGTTACAAATTTATCGAAACAAAAACTGCATTGAACTAACAGAAAGTCCAAACAAGCCTCCAAGTTTCAGATCTGTAACATTTCCTTCGTTTTTGGTCTTCAACTTATATTAATATTCCTTCTCCAATAAATCTTGGATCTGTATCTCCTTCTTCAGATCTATTGATTGCACAACAAAACACACATTAAAAAAACACTCTAAAAGAGAGCTAAAAATCTCAAAGAGAAGTCCGGACTTCCAGAGAAGGAAGAGAAAAAATCACCAATAACGAAGGAGTAAACTTCCACAAAGGAAGACTAATTATTTTTTAATAAGGGCCGAAGAGAGTAATTAACAACACTGTACATTAAGTAATTTTTTTTCCCGGTCGAGAATTTATACTTTGAACTTGCAAGTTTCAAAATGATGAACTCAATTCATTATTAAACTTATAAAAAGAGTTGAAGTTGACTATAATTGAAATTTTTTCTTTTAGAAAATCTACAAGTACTTTAAAGAGGAGATGAGTGCAGAACACTGTGTTTATAGATATTGTAATAGAACATGCTTGTCTTTAATTAAAAATATTACTAAATATATTCATTCTTGTTTCTATGTTTCAAACAAGGGAAACATAATATTAACTACTATTTCCTCTCTTATGAAATAGAAATAATAGATGTTAGAGGTATGTTTTCTCAATATTTTTCAATATTACTTTTAAACTGAAAATATAATTATGTTAACTTAAAATTGTACTTGAATAAAATGTTATATTAAGAGTAAGCCAACATTTGTTTTGTCTTTTTGTCTCATTTTACCTCTTAAAACACCTCTCAAACACAAATTCCAATACTATCTAAATAACTTTTTAATTCAACTTATAAAAAATATTCCAAAAATTATTTGTAAACAGTTCTCGTCCACCACCACCCGCCACCGCCGACCGCCCCTTGCCGGTCGCCTGCCAACGGCGGCGGCGGGCGGTCCGGCAGCGACGTCGGTGGTGGAGGTGGTCCGGTGATGGCCTAAAAATATAATTATTTTATTTAAAATATTACTCAAACAACTTTTTAAATTTTATCTCAAATTACATTTTAAATCAAATCTCAAACCCAAATAAAAAACTAAAACAAAAACTAAAATAAAATATTAGTCAAACAAGCCATAAAATTCTAGATATTACAATATTTTAATAAAATAATTATTATTTTCTTAATTTAGTAAAATATCTCCAGCAACATCTATTTCATGGAGGAACAGCAGGTGGGCTTTCTCCCACAAAATGCATGATGCAACATTCTTCCGGGTAAATGACATATACACACACTTTCATCCCGCCGGGGGGCGGCGGAGTTAATCAGAGTGGTCGATGCATGATAAAGTGGGGGCCAGAATTGTGTATTATTTAAACGTGCTTTTATTAGCTTTAGCGGGACCCACGATTCACGTAGCTACGCGGCAACAAAACATAGCTCTCAATCCGCCACGTCACCGTGATATTATTATTCCCCCGAGATTATCCGTAGCAGTGGCATAATTTCATTTGATCACGGAGTTTAGAAAGGCTTTCTTCTTCTCTCGCCGGCGCAACTCCCCATCCTCCGCCGACGGCGGATTTTTTAGCCCGTTCTGCCATTTCTTCTCCCTTTTCTTTCTTTCTTTTTTCCCCGTTTTTTTTTCGCCTATTTCGTCTTCCGTATCTCTTACTGGATTAGTATAGAATATTCTTCTGCTGCTGGTTGAATATTCTCGACGTCTTTGATTTCCCCAATTCCGAACTATTTAAGACGTAAGTTCTTCTGGGGTTTCTAACTTGTAAAAAAATTTCATTGTATTGTTTGTTTGTTAATTGTGTTTATTATGAATCTGCATGATTAGTTTGAAATGACAATTTTTTTTTTTTTTTGCGGTGATTCTTTTTCTTTTTTTTTTTCCCAGAAGATTGGTGGAAACTTTTTAGTTGATATGTAATTACTGGTAACAATGTACTTTTGGGATTGAAGCTGGAACACTTTGGAATGTAATGGTACTAATTCAAGAACGGTCCGACAATTTTCTGGGCGTGCTTTGTAACACAATGCAATACATTTAGGTTATTGTGATTGGATCTATTGCCAGAGTATTGGCATATCTTAAATTTGAAGCTAATTTTATTAGTTTATTCTAATGCTATCTAAATTATACCCTCTGGAAATGTAGGTTTTTCGGTAGTAGGTGGCATTTCATGTGACCTTGGAGTTTTGTATTTCTTGGTTCATCTTGGCACAATGGCAGTTGCAAGCTCTCTGCTTCCTCCTCCTGACATGCCAATTTTCAATAGATGTTACCACTGTGGCCAATACAAGGTAGTGTTTGCATTTGTCCATCGTCTTCTAACTTGTCCTCTTAATGATGCGTATTTATTGTCAATTTATTGTCTTAATTTTGACTCGTGTTTCATGCTTTTTTGATCTATTAACTCCTTTGCAGGGATCAATGAACAAGATTCCAGTGTTTTCTTTTCCGTTGCATCTTTCGTCACATTCACTGGTAAGCTTATATTTTTACGGAAATTAGCAATATGCTTTTAGAAATATGATTTTGTATTTGTACTTACTAAGTTATCCTCTTCCTTGTTTGGTCATAAGTTTTGTGCTTTTATGCCTACAAATGATATGAACTTATGAAATTGTTTCTCGTTTTACTCATTTAAAAGGTTTATAGTATTGTTTTTCCAGTTCTGAGTTCGAACTAGGCTTCTCATGTACGAAAATTTCGATTAGTTGGTTATTTCTGTGACGGTACTTCCCTTTGGCAGAAGCCAAACATCATGCATTGTAGAAATTTTGTCGATGCTTTACCTGATTTACATGTGTGCACTGATGTTTACATCCTCTTGGACAAGTTGCCTTTACAAATGACTAATAGAACTGCATTTGTTGTTGGCCGTGCAGCGACAAGATGCATTGAGTTTCTATCTTTTGAGCAACTTACATCAGCCATTAGGCCCTACGTGCGCCAAATTTAATGGTCTTGTTTGCCGTTCCCTATTAAATCCCAGTGGAGGAAATGAGATTCCTATGATGAAAGCAGCTGCAACTCTAATCTCCAGGTAAACGCCCTTCATTTGAAAAAAAGAAGAAGAAGAAATCTTATCCTTTTACGCTTTACGTGGCTTCTATTGCCATCCATTTTCTTCTTAATGCCTGGTGGCATACAATGGTGCCTTGTAGTTATGCTTCAGTCTGCTCATGAAGAGACTATTGCTATTAAAGAGATATATAGAACATAGAAGACTTACGGGAACTTTTGGCAGGGCGTGGAGCAATTTGCAAGGCAATCCGGTTGTGATGCAATTGGTACCTGCTGTTGGGATTGTTGCTTTTTCTGCATGTGGTTTGGTACCTCTGATGTACTTTGGAAGGAGCATTTTCCTCAATGTACTGTTTCCATCCTCAACCCATTCTATTCTTCATTGTGAGGTCGTATTGTAAATGGCTGATATTCTCAATGATGATACCTTGCAGAAGACTGATAGTAGTTGGAAAAAGAGTGGGACATATTATATTACAACCTCCTACCTACAACCTTTGATGCTTTGGACTGGAGTAATGCTCGTTTGCAGGTGCTTGATCTTTTGATGTTATGTTGTTTGATACAATATTTAAAATTTTGTCATTGAAGAATGAATACTGGGCATGTTCATTAATGCTTCATTTTCTTCAGGTCATTTGATCCTTTGGTTCTTTCTTCAATAGCTAGTCAGTCTGTCAAGCAACGACTGTTGAACTTTGTGCGCTCACTGTCCACAGTTCTTGCCTTCGCCTACTGTTTATCAAGGTAATATTAAAGATCCATTGAAAGAGAATTTTTGTTATCTACTATTATTTCTCTCTTATCCCCCAATTTTTGCCTCCCTCTCTGAACTTATGAAAGGTTCTATTTCTTCTTGACTTTCTAGGAGCAAAATTTATCACTTGCTCCTACAGGATAACCTTATATCTGCAGACATGCATGCACCGTGCTTAAGTTCATGTTTAGATTGGTGTTTATCTGATTGTATTTAGCGTTGGTTGTGGAGTGATGCTTAACCAATTACACATTTTTGTCGTGGCAGCTTGATTCAGCAAACCAAGAACTTTTTTATGGAGACAAAAGATACTGCTGATTCAAGAAATGTATGTTTCTTAAGATCTCTGATCTTTTACCGCTATTCATTCAATGTTTGGATGAACATTTACTTCCTTGTATTGCTGAAAGTTTTAACCACTTGTAGTATAAACATAGAATATTTTCGCCATTGATGTATGACTGACCATATGATTATGCATGTACACTCTTGTCGATTCAATGATAAGATTGTTCTTATTGGCTCAGTTCAACCAACGAAATTTTGTTCGTTTGACCAAACGTTGTGTAATTTCAAGTAGATGTTTGTTTCCAAAATCATGAATATGTATGTTATATTTCGGCAGTTTTAAATGCAGCCAAAATGAGTTTTTTAATTTGTACCTTTTACCTATTTTTGTCCCGTACATTCTCGTGATGGTTACTGCACCTGTAGATGGGCTTTGATTTTGCGGGAAAAGCTATATACACTGCAGTATGGGTTGCTGCTGCATCATTGTTTATGGAGTTGCTTGGGTTTTCAACTCAGAGGTGGCTTACTGCCGGGGGGCTTGGAACAGTATTACTAACCCTTGCTGGTCGTGAGGTAAATCCTGCTGTTGGACATGATTTGTTTTGATTGTAACTTGCTTTTTTGTTTTTTGTTTTTTTTTTTTCCTGCATCTGCCCAGTGACTTATGAAATTCCTGTGCAACATCTCATTGTTGCCCCAACCCAAGCATGCTATTATTTTCAATTTCTCTGAGCTTAACAAGATTTTTTTTTTATTATTTATTTAAAAATAAAAAAATTCTTCAGATTCTTGCAGTCATGATCCATGCAATACGACCACTTGCTTTTTTTTTTTTCTTGCATCTGCCCCGTGACTTATGAAATTCCTGTGCAACATCTCATTGTTGCCCCAACCCAAGCATGCTATTATTTTCAATTTCTCTGAGCTTAACTAGGTGGTTTTTTTTTTTTTTTTTTTTTAAATTCTTCAGATTCTTACAAATTTCCTTTCAAGTGTCATGATCCATGCAACACGACCATTTGTTCTAAATGATTGGATTCAAACTAAGATCGGAGGCTATGACATATCTGGTAACGTTGAGGTTTGTCTTTTCTCCCCTGGCATTGTGTTTTAGTCAGCAAATTCCATTTTGTACTACTTATAAAAAATATATCCAATATTATTCTGTCGAATAAAATTCACCCTTAAGAAATTCAATGCTGAATAATCTGCTAACTTTAAAGGATTTTGGTTTGAGTAAGCTAATTTTTATATTCAATTGTGTTGTCCAGAATGTTGGGTGGTGGTCTCCAACAGTTATACGAGGTGATGACCGTGAAGCAGTTCATATTCCTAGTCACAAGTTCACAGTGAATGTAGTGAGGAATCTTAGCCAGAAGACTCATTGGCGTATAAAAACCCATCTTGCTATTAGTCACCTTGATGTGAATAAGATCAATGTGAGATCTGATTTTCATTTCGTTCATCGATGCATTAATTAGAGGTATTCCATTGAAACAAGATCTTGGTTTTCCTTTTAAACAGAGCATTGTTGCTGATATGCGCAAGGTTGTGGCCAAAAATCCTCAAATAGAGCAGCAGAAATTGCATAGAAGAGTATTTCTGGATAATGTAGATTCAGAAACTCAGGCACTCATGGTAAGCCGCAACAGTGCTATTGGCTTATTCTTGCAGGAAATTGTCTAATTTTTTTTGATATGATGATTACCTGACAATATCTTGTAACAGATATTGGTGTCTTGTTTCGTGAAGACCTCACGTTTTGAGGAGTACCTCTGTGTAAAGGTAAGCATTCGTTACCAATCACATCATGAGTAGATGAAACATGTGACAGGCTTCTTGGTAACAATATCTTGTTTTAAGAGTGATACTCACAAGGCTTAGTATCTATATATTTTTTATTGTTTCTGTTTCTTAAAGTTCTGAGATCGTTTTCAATTGGGCGACTTCAGGTTTAGCTGCTTAGCATTTTTTGTTGGTTGTCTTTTATTTATTTATTTTTGAAATAATTATTGGTTTTGTCTTTAATTCTGCAGTTCTCCATTCCCTCATTTTTTTAATAATTAATTTGGATTGCGGGAAAATGGAATCACTTCTGATCAGTAAATTGATTGCTACAGGAATCCCTCTTGCTTGATCTCCTTAGAGTGATTAGTCATCATGGGGCTCGGCTTGCTACTCCTATTCGTACAGTACAAAAAGTATATAGTGACCCTGATGTGGGAACTGTTCCATTTGCTGATACCATATTCACTCGTACCAGAGCTGAAGCTAATCGTCGTTTGCTGCTTCTTGGGGCATCTTATAAAGTTAATGATGATGATAAAAGTAGGACTCCAGATAATTCTGTACAACCTGATGAAGCAAATGATGAGAAAGTTGAAGCTACCTTACTATTTGACTCCAAGGTGGAAGGCAAGACTGGACCACCATCACCTGATGAGAAAATGGATGTTATGGATTCAGGTGAAAAAAACTCTGTGAAGCAGACACTGGATGGTTCAGTTTCCAAAGAGCAATCAGCTGTTGCGAGTCCAAAGAGAGATGGTGTGTTGTCTGAAGGATTGGATGTTACTGGAATACAGCGCCCCTCTCCTCAAGAAGCAAGAAGTGATGAGGGAGCTGTAGTCTCTACCAATTCACAGGCAACGCCAGATATGGGAAGACAAAGTTCATCTCCTCCAGCTTCAAAAACTAGTCTGGACGACAACATTGTTCTTGGTGTAGCTTTAGAAGGCTCTAAAATGATGCTTCCTATTGAAGAAGAGCTGATGCCACCTCCCACCCTGTCAGAGGTGGAGCTGGCCTCCCACCGGAATGGGAATGGGTTGGCTATTGTCGACAAGAAGGATGACAATGGCGAAGCTCCTAGCAGAGGACCTCTTTGATCAGCAAGGAGAGGTGAATTAGTCGGAGTCTATGATTGGAACATGCATCATTTAGTTCCTTCCAATCTAACCCTAGTGCAAGATGCATAAAGCGCGTTTTTTGAGCTGCATTCTGCACCGTATATGATGATTCGACGATTCTTGTTAACTACCACAGATGTAAATAATTGTTGAAAATGCACCAAGTGATGAACACGTGATATGTCTTCCCTTCAAGTCGTCTAGTGACAAACATATCGTTTGTATCAATTTGGGCAAGAAATCAGAAGTTTTTAAATTAGAGACAAACATGTTGCATACCGGAATTCTCACTGTAAGATGTGATCAACTCAGATGAAGTTTGGCCTAACTACCTAGTTTATGGAGAGATGTGCTTTTGTTTGTTCTTCGCCGTTTCTTCTACCAGATTTATGATTAGTGCTGACCGCTAAAACTTGTTGCCACCAACATCGGAACTGGTACTATTTTGGTGTTGTCATTTTTGAAACCTTGAAATGTTAATGTACTTCTAGATTAGGGATAGACCAAAAAAATCAATATTGTTAGATCTAAACAAAAATTTGCGGTATAGGGCACTATTGAGTAGTATTGGGCAGGAAGGCGAGTTCTTAAAGGAGTCGCAAGATATTTTATTGCAAAAGATGTAGTTGAATTGAAAACTATACTGAAGGGCGACATCCTGAAGGAGGTACAAGGTAACATTTATATTGGCAAAATGCAGTTTAAAAAGAAAATTAAGGACGGTTGAATAATTAAACTAAATTATTATTAATAATCACCTGAACTATAGAATAGCACTGCTAACATATTACCAGGAAATAAAATACTGGATGTCTCCTTCCAGCCTTGGTGATGGCAAGGCTGACTACATTGCCTTGTGCTTTTCTCAGATAACAGCACAACCAGCGAATGAGTTGGGAAGCTATTGTGGATTTAAACGTATTTATAGAAGAAACCTAGACACTAACAGAGCAAAAAGGGAAACTGTTACATTAGGACCGGGATACCATCTAGGCTTGACACATGCAATCAGGAATGGGATATGTGTATATCGATTGTGTTTCTTTCCTTAACCGTAGTTGCCCTTGTCTATTCTTGTGGCCATTCTTAACTGCTTGTTGGAAATCTGACCACTCCAGGCTTTTATTTATGAAAAGCTTTCCCAACAGCACCATGTTTGGTCTGATAGTCTTCAAGTTGTTGTACGATCGGTGTGCCACCTGAAATTTTGGACCAAAATGTCAGCATGGTCTAAAGATTCAAGCTCAGATAAGTCAGATCAAGCTAAAAAGTTTGTGGCTTACCAGAGCATTATGCATGTTTCCAGGCGAAGCAGAAAGGAAAACATCACTTTCCATGCTCACTTCGTAGTCAACAGCAGCTAACAGAGAAGCTTTTCCTTCCACTTGAGCCCGTTCATCTACAGAAGTAAGGCTATTCTTATCCTCCATCAATGGGAACAGCTTTAGAAGATATGACAGCCTTGCCTCACCACCATAAACCTGGACCGCTAAAAAAAAACATTAAAAACTTATCTTAAAGAAACAAAAAGTTCCAAACTTCGGTAATTTAATGGAGTTAAAGGAATAAATCACAAGTTCTCTTTCCATAACTACCTTATGGGAAGCCAAATATAGTCTTGTGTTGTTGCTGAAGCCAAGAGCAGCAAGCAGAAGCCCAATCTCTTCTGGAGTCAGCGGGCAACGTCCTTTAGTTCTTAGTTCTTCATCAGTGAACTGAGAATTCAGTACCCTACCCTGCCAAAGAACTTGGCGGTATTTTGCGAGAGCCAATTTCTCAGCTTTTCCACCACCAAAATCACAAGCTGAATGAGCAGCCATATCCTGTGCAGACAAGTTTAGACACAGTGACCAACAATGACCCAAAGAAACTGATTTCTTATTTGATTAGAAAATGCGCCGTTAGATGTAATTGCTAAGTTGTACTGGAACACATTATGCCTATTAAGAATAGCCATAATCTAAAATTTTCCGAGAATCACAGAAAGCACCTAAACTTACCCGAGTTACTGAAATCAACAATCAAACCATTACAAATGTATGTATTTACAAGCATCAAAATCTAAAAGTATATAAATCAAGTAAGGTTCATACTTTATCAAAGCGAAGATGCAACACGGCATACTTCCCAGCTCTTCGATTAGCAGTCACTCTTTCCTGCCAATTAGCAATACCTGAAGCTCCTCCACCACTATGCCCAAACCGCAGGCGATTGATAATGGTCTCTGCTAACATCCTGATATGGGGGACAAAAATCAAAGCCTCAAAATTAACCTTACATCGAAGCCGCTGGATCTCTGGGGGCAGGTTGTCGAAGGCCAGTCGATGAGAGAATGGGGATATTGCAGCAATCCCATAACTGCAACAGCATCAAAAGGAAGATTCAAACTCATATTTTTACAGAATATCCTCATGAAGATTATGCATTTTAAGATTACTCAAAGGAGTGAAGAGAAGTGAAAATAAGAACAAACACAACCAGCTGATGGAAACTGGAAATGCTGAAGGCAGTGAATCCATGTTAGTTTTCATTTGAATTTCATAGAGTTGCGAGGCCTAACAAGGATGTGAAAGGGTCTTACACATGTCATGGCGACCACACCACACAAACTCAACACACCAGTGCTACAAGAATTAAAGATGTTTCTTTACAATTTCCAAAAGATCAATAACTTTTCTACTCATGTACTTAAAAAGAACGAAGCGCCTAAATTCTAAACCCGCTGGACAGAATCCCGCTAGGACGGAATGCAGACACATGGAAGTAGATCATAGGGTCAAAAGCTTTATGAAAAAGCCACAATTAGAATGCACACCAGTGTCCTCTTTTGCCCGAAAGTTAAAACAAATGTTTCTTGCTTTTACAACAATAATCATTCTCTTAACAGACTTTTGAATTTTAGACATGAACATAAAGACTACAAAAAATAAAGGATCAAGGGGATATACCTATTAAATAAAAATTGCCATATAATAGAGAAATGTAAACAAGGAATTATAGACATTCTAAGATCCAGGGCAAATTAGTTCACAAACCTCTGCATAACTGGCAAAACATTTTCCAGATACCAAGTAGCAGATGCATGGAGAGGTGCTGTTTTTATTCTTGTATCTCTTATCCCAGTTGCATAATACTCTCGTGTACTCCAGGAATACTGGCCTGGAAGGTCTTTAACTATGGAGACTTCGTTTTTCAGAGCATCAATGAAATGGTCTACATTAAATATATCTGAAAATTGGCTTCAGATAAAGAATATACATCAGAAGGGCCCCTCTGTGATATTTGTTATGGCTCAAAAGACAGAAATGTAGGGAGTACCTCGAATCTTGCCAAACTGGATTCACCTCAAAATATGGAACCACAAGTGTAGCATTTAAGATTTTTGCTACAGCGACGGCATCACAAACCTTTGACAAAGAGGAGAAACACAAATATCAACAACTTAAAAGAACGAAATATAAATAATTGTCCAACGGAACTTCCCTAGTAGCAAAGCCTACATAAGACAAACTCAAAAAGGAAGACACTTTACCCCCATTCTTTGCTGATTGAGTCCTCCATCAAGAAACACTTGAATATAACCTTCTGATTTCTTGGGTAAAACTGTCAAATGAAACTCCAGTTTTTAGAATAGAGACGAAAATGCACACAAGTTCTCTGAGAACTGTCAAATCTAATTCACAAAACCTCTACCAACAGCAAAAATTAATACTGTGAAAGAGCTTACAATGTGAAGTGCGAGAGTCAGCACAAGGTTTCCAGCCTTGGTTGGGCAAGGGAGACCATATTTCTGATTCCTCATCAAGCTGAAAGTTCAACACCAAAAATATCAGAAGAAACAGCTTTTGAATTGTTCCAAAAAAAAAAACAAACAATTAAATCCAAGTGATTACATAAGCACATACTCACAGTTTGTCGTTTTAAAGCACCATTGAGTAATTGCAAATGCATAGCTTCAGGAGCATTCCATTCCTACAAACACAAAGAAACATTCTCACGAGTATCAATATTCAGGTAGCAAATGAACACTTGATTAAGTGGATTACGCATGAAACTCAGACAAAGAAAGCGTTAAGAATATGTTCAAAATCCCTTCAATAACAGTTCAAAACCAAGTTCCCAGTCTCAATTTGCTGGCATTCCATCAAACATAAACATCCCCAAAGCAGAACAACAAAAATAACTCATCCTGCCTTGTCTATCAACAAATGAAGAAATACCCAACATTAAAAATTGAAACTTGCAGAAACCCAGTAAATATGTCAACGAAAATCATATCATCAAGCACAATGGAAAAAAAAAAAAAAAGAAAAAGAAAAAAGGTAGGAGAACTTGGAAAAACATACTGAGAAGAGGGAGGGGTAAGCACGGGCTAATGGATTAAGGAGAGCAGGGAAAAAGTTAGGGAGTATAAGCACGAATAATCCTCCCAAAGCCCATCTTCGAGTCTGGGATTGAATTTGCTGATGCTGATTTCTGCTGTTCATCTTCTTTTTCTCTTTTTCCTACGGAATTTGCCAGTGCCGGATCACATTATTCTGCAAGGTGCTAACTAGCTTTTTTTTCTTTCTTAAAGAAATGGTTAATATCAAAAACACCTAAAATATCCTTATTATTATTTTTAAAATATAAAAAATGTTCTTTAATCGGCAAGTCAATTATAAAAGCGTCCTCCAACGATTAAAAATTAATATACTTAAATGAATTTAGAAAAAGAAAATGTTGAAAAGAGTTGTACCTTATTGAAATCTTATTCCCTCTGTTTTAAAATTATTGTCTAGTTTGAGATTTTATTTTTAATACAATTTAAATTAGAAATAAAAATCCAAACTGAACAATAATTATGGGACGGAGAGAGAACGCGTTTTTTTTTTCTTTCAAGTTTTAATAAAATCAAATATCTAATTCTATTTATGGTTTTAGTTTTCCATATTTTCTCCGTTCTCGTTCTCCCCGTTTTTAACTTTTCATATCATCAATTTCCTTTGGTTCCATTATAGTCTGTCCCTCTATCTTTTTTCATTATTACTTTTGTTTTATGATTGATGACTCTATGAACATTTAAGATTACATTTACTTTTAAGCATTGACTTTGAACAAGGTGGGTAATATAAAAAAAAAAAATTACATTCACCTTTACAAATAACCGAATAAGTATTATGACTTCATTTTTTAAAAATATTTTTTTCTTCATTTATGACTTTATTTTTTTCGTTGTATTTCATTTTTCTTCTTTGTCTTATAATAGACGGTCGGTCACATCCATTTCCGGTCTCCAAATATTGCGAATTTGTTCTCTAATTTTTCCCTTCTCATAACTTTGCAAATGCAACATCATGCTCGGAAGCATATACTCCCTCTGTCCCAAAATTATTGTCCAGTTTGAGATTTCACTTTTAGTATAATTTGAACTAAAAATGAAAATTCAAACTGGACAATAATTATGGGACGAAAGAAGTAATTGATTGCGAATTAAGGAAAGGACAATACTCTAATTTCATTTATATACCCTAACCCAAATAAAACTTTAGGAGACATTTAACGAGATTTTAGCTGAGTGATTTAGGAAGTAAAATGAAATTATAATGCAAAGAAATCTTTTACCAGTTGTAAAAGCCAAATTAAGCAAGTGATCATTCTCAAATTTTGACAAATGATAATTTGTTTTTACAATTTTCCGAGGGCCCAAGGATTTTCATTTTACCCACACGATTCACTTGCCCGTTGCGTCAGGAGCACATAACAATGTATCGAGAAAATGCTGCTTGTTTCGGGTTTTCTGTCTGTGTTAAGATTTAAAACATCAACGTAAAATATTCCCACTTTTTCTTACACTTTGATGATGTGTTAACTAGCTAATGATCATATAACAGCCTCTAGTAATTTGCAATATAACATTCTAATTTCACAACTTAAAAAAACAACAATTCTTTTCCCATCTTCTTCTCAGGAGGAGGATTGGGAGAATAATTTTATTCGATCATTTTTTTTTTGGTCAACTTTATTTTTGATAAGCAGAATCACAATTTTTATTTATTTATTTATTTTAAAAAAAACTGTCGGTGATCTGTTGGAAAGTGTAAGGTCCTTTGATATTGTTCTTTCAGTAAATTGGTCTACTAGATTGTGATTAATCATCGTTTCATCGTTTTTGGTATATTTCCTTTATTAATCATGGTTGAACGATTTTAAGTAAATTAAAATAATTTTTTATTAAAAAAAAAAACAAAAATACAGTCTGTTACATTGTCTAAGGAAAGTCTGCCTATTTCCCCTTCACATTCAGTTCTCTCCTGTTGTTCTAACTGTTTTAAGGATCAAACTAGGCTATCTAGAAAAATCGGAACATGTAACCTTTGGTTGTACATATTCACTATTTAGACCATCCGTGTGAACGTACCTTTGAAATCTCTTCTTGTAGCCACAACGTTTGAAGCAAGCCATTTCTGTCGATAGGAGGGTAAGAGCTTGTTTGGACGTAAACTTACATTTCATTTTGCCACTTAAAAGTGGAAAGTATTTCAAATTGAAAACTAAATGAGAAATAAAAATATTGTTTGGATGTTGGTTTTGAAAAAAAATAGTTTGAACTACATTTTGAAATATCAAGTACTCCCTCCATCCCATAATTATTGTCCAGTTTTACTAAAATGAAAGATTTTATTTTTGGTCAAACTTAATTATATTTTACCTTAAACAACCGGATATACCCCTACATAAGTAATTGTTTAACCACTAAGATTTTATGGATAATGTTTTTTACTAAGGACAAATGTGTAACTTGATCCATAAAAAGTCAAATTGGACAATAATTTTGGGACAAAATTTTTTTGGCAAAGTGGACAATAATTATGGGACGGAGGGAGTATAAGTCATCACTAAAAAATTAAATACTGTCAATTATAGTCACTGCAAAAAAGAACTTTTCCAAAAATAATCACTCAACAACGAAATCCTGTCAAATTTGTCCCTGAACTATTTATAGATCTAAAATGGTCATTACACTAACAAAAAGTGTTTCAAATTGAAATTTAAAATGTAAATCAGAAAGTTGTTTAGATGATGTTTTCTTTTCCATTGAGTTTTGTGTTTAAAAGATAAAATAAGTGAAAATGTAAAATGAGTTGATATCCAAACAAGGCTACGTCCTTGAAAAATGAAAACATTCACTCGCGTTTAGACTGTCGTCTTATTTACTTAGATAATATTAATTGGGAGATCAACAAGAAATCCAAGTTTAATTAGATTGAATCATTTTCTTCATATATAATTAATTAATTTAACCAACGTAACAAGTAAAATGTAAAACTATTATGAGTGAATGGCGCACTATGTAATTAAGTTGTAGTACTCCCTCCTATTTTTATTATAAAGTATTTTGATCTGTCCTAAATTTCGGTTGGTATGTCTTATCTCAATTGAAAATAAAACCTTAAAAATATTTCATAATAATTGAAAGAATACAATAAAAATGAAAGTACATTTGAAAATTTTATTTTCAATGGAAAGAACATACTAAATCAAATTTAGGACAAATCAAAATGTCAGGAAGGAGTAAGTATTAAAGTTACTTGGGGTGACGGATAGTGAGCAGAGAATCACTAGGGTTTAAATCTCTAATGGATGGAATCTAAAAACAACTGCCCCTAAAAGATGATTAATTAAAAATCAGTAATTAGTTCTTTGTCACTAGCTAGCTATGTTTACTACTTTTAATTAATCATCATTTAGCGGATCTCATGTACGTGAGTCTACTCCATTATTTTTCTGCTTTTTCTCCCTCTTTTTATTGTACCTGTGAAGTTCTTGACTTGAATAATTTGGATTAAGATGGACTTATCCTTCGCCATTTAATTTTTTATCGTAAGAAGCTTTGAACAAATGCAGGAATACATAGTTAAAATATTAATAAATTAATACGAGAAGTTCAGCCCGAAGGTCGATCGCAATAGTTTTACAACACAAACACTTTATTAATTTTCACTAAGATTATAGCTGCCGGAAAACACCAGATATACAGAATGACACGAGCCGAATAATAAGCATAATATGCTATTATTATAACTTATAATTAAATAAAGCTAGGGCTCAGCTTTATTCATTATTATTATATAAAAAAAGGTTACCACTTTCTAGGGTAACCTTTACATACACTTAAATTTTAATACTGTGAGCTTCAGCAGCTTGCCTCATAAAATGTTACTCGAAAATTCAGAGATATCTCTTCTGTCTCCATGTCCCAAATCAACTTAATTAAATGGTAGCCTGAAAGAGACAAGAAAAAGCAAATGTAAAATTCACGGAAAATAATCAATCCCATTAACTTCATTTCATGCTTTTAGTTGATTCATAATGCTGAAAAATTCTTCTACTAACACCCCCCCAAAAGAAAAGTCATCTTGGATGAATTAAAACTGAAAAATTCTTTCATTTTGAGACGGAACGAGTATGCACAATACGAGTTTTTTTACTATCTCAATTCACCGTTAAATTTAATTTTCATCATACAGTAGTACTTTGACTTTCTATTTTTGGCAATGCAAATTACAGTGCCTCTTCTATCTACGGCTTACTGAGTCGATAGGGCTAACTAAAATTTTTTAACAAGTCAAGGAAAAGGACTAGAAAGCAGTCTTTCCTATGATCTATGATCCCAAGACCAGAGAAATTAATACCACTTAATTTGTACAAGCAAATTGAAGCCTTTCAAGTACTAGTTTATATTAGAAGTCACTTCAAAAGCAACACTATCATTTTCCAAAGGTCCTCAACTTAATCTATATGCGCAAATAAGCAAATACATACAAGAATCTAATAAGACACATCAGTTTTTCAGGTAACATGGTAATATTCAAAAGCATAATAAATCTCTCTAACGCCAAAAAATATCATGTTTGTTGAACTAAAATATCGCAAAAGTCAAAGAAGACAGTAGTAGTGAAAGTGATGAAGAGGGTTTACCCTAGTTTGAGCGATGTATCGGAGCAATCATCCTCTACAGGTGGTCCACTATTACAGCTGCAGACATTGGCATTGGACTCTGAGGATTGGCCTTCTTCAACCACAATGGCATTTTCCAAGTCTGGTACATTTAGTGCCCTCTTTCCTTCATAAATCAGAGCCATCTGCATATATGCACCAGAAATTTATCACTAATAATTTCAGCAACAAAGTCAACAATTTGCACTTACAGTTTAATTATGGTTATACAATCTTACTTTCTCCTTCAATTGCTTATTTTCTTCAATCAGCTCAGCACCCTGAGAAAAAAAAAGAAGAGGGCATTCAGGTCAAATTCTTAGCTGTAGTAATAGTTCCACGGTCAACTATATGAATGAACACTGATGACCTAAAAATAATCTTCTTAGATAAGATGCTTAGAAGAATTGCAAGTTTCCATAAATTTTAGTAATAGCTTGAAACTTTTCAAATTAATCAGTCCACAAAACTTTTTTCATTCAGACAGATTTCGACTTTGTGATTCAATCATCTGTGGATGGAAAAAAAAGAAAAAAGGAAAGAGGATTGGAACAAGAAGTCAAGGGAGCAGGGTGATGATTACTCCCTAAACAAGCGTACCTTCTTTTGAAGGGCATTTATTTCGCTCATGATTCGATCCCCCTGCAATATAATTTAAGCAAATGTTAATGGTAAGTCACTGTTCATTCTTTGTTCGGGAAAAAAAATCATGGAGAAAGATATGTAATGAACAAAATGAACAATGTATGCACTTTGGTCTGAAGCACACGGGAGAGTCCAGCTTCAAGGGTTCTCTCCAACTGCTGCAGCTCTTCTATGTTAAGCCCTTGAAGATCCTCACCCTTCATCTGCCTGTTTTAATTTTGAATAAGAATAAAATTAGGTCGTTAGTTTTTCATCCTTAAAACTTGTCCAAAAAACCTTTCCAAAAACAATTCAGTGCTTGAGACAAATTAGGTCATTGATTAGTCTGTAAATATATACCTCAGCTGACGAGTCCTGTCAGCAACCTCTTTGCTCAATCTAACATGGGAGCTATTCTCTAGCTATAATTATATGGAAAAAGAAAAGAGAGCAAAATCTACATCAATTATTTTGAAGATATTCCAAAGAAGTCACTTGAACATGACTGCAAAGTACCAAGGCACGCGATTAGTTTAAAATATTTAGACGCTTTTTTTTTTTGTTCAAAATGTAAAAAGTTTATGTAGGGATATAGATGTTGCTAATACAGATTGAGGCGCGGGGGATTTCAACACCGGCCATGATAGTCCTTCAATTTTTGAGCAGCGATCAAAGCTTGAACATGGTGTTATTGAGGTATTTAAGAAGTTTAGATCTTTAAGGCTTGCGCTTCCTTTCATGTAACGGAAAAAAAAGGGGGGGGGGGGGGAAAAGAGTTTAAAATGGCCGAGTAATAAAAAACACCAGACCTGAAGTTCGAGTGATGGTTGCTCATTTTTCTCCAGCTTGCTTGTGTGTAGCTTATACTTCACAAGGGTATCATTCATGCTGTAGTAGTTAATAGGAAATTAAATTTCATGCATAAGCAAAGATATCGATTGACTTGAATTAATTCATGTAAATTAAAACTTAATCCTGTATGAAGTCAAAATTCAAGATTTTAAGAAACAAATCACATAATATATCCCAACACCCGCACCCCCACCCCAAACACCACAATGGGAAAAAAAAGACATGGGTCGAAAAATGGTTTAAAACAGGAGAGTATGCATCGACAAGAATCAACTTCACTGCATGATGGAGACGATTACAAAATGTCTAGAAGATTAGTAAAACCATTACTTGAGCAATTAGAAATGTGAAATAGAAGAATGATGCATACTGCATAACAGTGATTAAACAATTACCCAGATAGAGTATGGACATAATTAACTTATCAAAAGCATAGAATACATCTAACAAAATCTTTGAGCCTTTAAAAGACTGAACAAATGAGAGAAGAAAGCAAGGAACTTTGATCTTTTTTTTTTTTTGGTTGAAGGAACTTTGATCATTCGAAACCATTTCTCCTATGCTCCATGTATAACAAAACTAGAGCAAGCAGGTAAGGGGAGGTCCTGCGGAAAAATAGCTCGACATCTCGGAGGATATTTGGAAAATAACATATCTAAACAAATATACACCCTCTCGTCCCAAAAAAGAAAGTCATAGGTGCAAAACAATTTCTTTTTTTTTTTTTTTGTGGAATGGATAGTATATTTATATTGTGCTTCGCAAGTTTTTCTTGAAGGGGAGTGCACCCCAAACCCAAATGTAGTTTGCTTCAGACAAAGAGAAAGGCTGAAACCACACTGATCACTCAACCACATTAAAGTAAAATGCATAAAAGAATTCAATATCCTTCGTCATGTATATGAAGATGATCACAGTTTCAATTATAACAGGAGTGGAATGACAACTCTAATTGAAAACTGAGGTTTTGTTCTATGATGATATACCGTTGGAGGTGTTGGAACCACTATTTCAACTCAACTGTATTTGATTTGGAAAAGTTTTTTTTTTTTTTGGAAATCAAAACTCATGAACCATCATTTCAGTAACCATAATTTGAATAAACTACCAATTCTAATTTTTCCAATGAAAATTAAAATGTGTTGTTCAAATACCATTTAAAATTGTTCTAGCAAACCAGGGATTAATCTAATTAATCATTTTAATGTCTCTTGGTTCCTATATATACCCAAAGAAATAGTGCAAAACATTAGGAAAACATATTACTGAAATTTGTGTGAATGTAACAGTTACATAAATGTTTAAGCGTTTTTTTTTGTTTTAAAAAAAAATTATACTTGGCAGCCTATCACATACAAGTTATCAAATATTTTATTGAATTGTTTCAATTTTAGTATCTACTCTACATTGATAACTGCAAACTTATTTAAAATAAATTTATTATAGTTAGAGAATAAAAATCTTTTGATTATCTCTTGCAATTAAATTCTTGAGTGCCCCAAATTTTAATAATATTTTTTTTGGGGAAAATAATTAAAGGAAACTTGAACCACCAATATAACTGGAACTGTGAAACTAAACTAAAACTGCAGGCATTCAAAGCCACATGCAATCAGAATCACCAAACACCATATTCAGATTATAAAGTTCTTATTCTTCTACCCCTTTAAATGACAATATATCATATCCTACCTCTACACGTTATACTTAAATTAATCCTTATTCGATTCTAGTCGATTTTGTTCCCCTTTTTAAGAATAAGAATTCAACCATTTTGAATAACATGATAGGCCGTTGTGAAATGCACATATGAAAATAAAAAAATATATATATCTTTGTAGGTGACCTTTTTCTAGAGACGTGTTATAAGTTGATAGAAGTAAGCAAAATAAATTGGCTAGAGGTATAACACGAAAATCACTTGTTTCAACTTCTTTTGAGACCCTAATGTGGTATCAACTTGATTTTTTTTGTACTCCATCCATCTTAAACTATATATATAAGAAAAGAAGTAGCATCCGTTTACTTTGAATTTCTACAAGGAGAAAGATCAGAAACTAGACGTCATACACATCAAAACTAAACACTGTTCAAAGACCAAGAGATGTTTCAGCCATGCTAACTACTCCCTCCGTCCCATAATAATTGTCCACTTTACCCAAAAAATTTTGTCCCAAAATTATTGTCCAATTTAACTTTTTATGGATCAAGTTACACATTTGTCATTTGTAAAAAACATTATCCATAAAATCTTAGTGATTAAACAATTACTTATGCAGGGGTATATCCGGTTGTTTAAGGTAAAATATAATTAAGTTTGACCAAAAATAAAATCTTTCATTCTAGTAAAACTGGACAATAATTATGGGATGGAAGGGGTATATATTAGTAGATAGATGAAAACTTTGCAAATGTTGTACTAATAATTAAATAAATAAGATCCTACTATGGGAGGGAGGGATAAAAGTTAAGATATTCTTTGGTATGAACAAGAGATTTTAAAACATGTATGGTTAGAGGTAACCCACGGATGAAAGTAAGATAAGCAAAAACTTCAAGTAAGAATTTAAGCTAATTAACTCATGACATATCAAACTCCATAGCATCCAATAAAGTGTATATCAAACTTATTAGAGGGGAAGGTTCCTAATTTTGGAGGAAAATTAGCCCAAATTAGGACCGGGGGAGGGGTGATTTCTAAATGTCCATTTCTGTTTCTACCCTTGTAACTATTACTATTACTATTAATGGTGTTTATCTTTTAATTTAATACGATTAAGGCAGCTAATTTAATATTTACATGGTTACAAAATGATCAAAGCACAAAACACAAGACAAAAATGACCACATATTCACAAACTCTAAATATTAATGCTTTGTGGTACACATGGTTGCTTGATTCTTATTTAATAACCTCATGTAAGATAAAGTCTCTCCTTGTTAAAATAAGAGTCATTTTAATGAACTATTTTTCTTGTAAAATCGATAAATATAACTCTTATTTTGGGACGGAAGGAAGCAGTGTATTATATAAGAGCAGTAAAAATAAAAATGGTTGGAATGATGTTTAAGTAGTCATCATTTACATCATAAACTTCTTCTGCAGGTTATCAATCAATCAAGTGGTATCTTGAAATTGATAAGAACAATCTGACTGACAACTTATGACCTCATATAGCTGGATTGCAACTTCAGTATTATTTCAAGAACTATATAATTTGTTGATCAAAAAAAAAAAAAAAAAAAAATCAAAACTCTTATCCTATGTTAAGTCTCTCAACTTCTGTCCATTCATCTATGAATCGATTCACCATAACTTCAAACTCCAAAAAACAATAAAGAAAAAAGAAAATGATTTGACAAATACTGAGTAGGACTTCTAACGCAGACTGATGCATCAAATTTGGAGAGAATACAGTTATCATCATCAGAAGAAGAAAAAATGTTTATATATCTTTAAAGAGATGCTAACGAGAAACAACGAAAATTTGAAGAAGTATGTTAAGAGAATCTTTTAACTAGGGTTACTAATTATAGAAATCTCGAAGGTTTTGTCCGTCAGAAATTTTTTTATTTTTGAAAAAACTTGCTTCTATTAATCCAAGTCAATAGAGAAAATGAGAAGAAATTTTTCTGGGCACTTAAAAAATATAATGAGCATTTGTCTTGTCGAAAAGACAACGCAAAATTAAAATTTAGACCAGACCAGAAGTACTCTTAACTATACTAATCCACAAGATGACGATGATGATGATGGTGGTGGTGGCATCAAACTTCCTTTCCATATATAGAAAGAGAAATCATTTCACCATTTCCATCATTTCATGTAACAAAGAACGATGTCAGAAAAATGGGCCATAAAATCACCTAAAAAAAAAACAAAAAACAAAATAATAACAATGGATAATTGAAAATACCTGGAACTGGCATAATCGAAGAGCTTGCCAGTGGCGGAGAAGATGATGAGGGCAACATCAGCATCGCATAAAACCGCAAGCTCTTCAGCTTTCTTGAATAATCCTCTCCTTCTCTTCGAAAATGTCACCTGCCTTGCTGTTATGTTATCGATTTTCTTGATTTTGATCTTCTCTCTAGCCATTTTCTTCTTCTATATATAACTCTTTTCCTGCCCCCCCAAAAACACACAAAAAAGGAAAAAAAATAGTGACACAAAGGAAAAAAAAGAAAGAAAGATAATAATAGAACACTATGAACAAAATGCAGGAAAAAATGGAGGAGCCAAGCCCACATAGAAATAGAGTTCAGAAGAGGGGGAAAAAGAAAGAGAAATTGAAGGGGGGGAATTCACAAGCAAAGTACAAGAGTCTGCGTAAAAGAATTAAAACCCTAAAGAAAAGCGAAAGAGAAGGGCAGATCTGGGTGGAAAAACCCAGGAAATTGGACCAATTGAAGCTCATTAACATGCAATCCTTAGATGAAGTGGGTTGGTATTAATTTTCTGAAACTACTGTTCACCTTCTTGGGGACTGGAGAATGAGCTACAGTAGATGTTTGTTTGGTGCCACACTTAAACACACACACACTCACAATCTCTCTCTCTTTTATATACACTATATTATTATATTATTGGTATTTAATAAGAAGAAGAACTCAGAGAAAGAAGAAAAGCAAGGAGAGAGAGAGAGAGAGAAAGAAAGGAGGAGGAGAAGGAGAAGAATGGAATGGAATGGAATGAGTTTTGGGAAACAAGAAGCCCCAAGTCAAGAAAGGAAAGTCCACTTTCCCTTTTATAGCAAAACCAATAATATCCTTCCCTTTTATATAATCCTTCAAGTTTGCCACATTTGCCTAAAAAATTCCACCGGCAAAAAAAGAATAGTATTAATAAAAGGAATGGATGAGGTGGTGTTGCATGTTGTAAGATACCAGTAGTAGTTGGTACCGCTGTGGGTATATATACTACTCACTACTGTGGTAGACTACTGTGTGAGTGTGTGAGAGAGAAAATGTGTTGTAAAAAAAAATAAAAAAAAGGTTCCCTTCTTCTTTTGGGGTTTCTGAGGAAAGGAAAGACAGAATGTGGGCTTTGGTTTAATGAGGAAATGTTTCCCTGTTCATAGTCAAGTTGATGATTTTGGAAAGGATGGTGATATACTGATTTATTTATTTATTATTATTATTTATTATTGGGGGGGAAAAAATGAAATAAGAGAACTTTATCATGATGATTATGTGTGGACGATGAGATGTCCGTACGGTTTTTGGGCAAGCTGTATCACTATCAATGACATAGACATACTGACCTAGCAGCGCTGTAAGTTTGTGCAGTTGTTTGTACCCTGTGTCCACCACCATCATCAATATATCACTTCAATTCTAAAAATTAATGTCACTTCAACTTTGATGATAATTTTGCATTTTTCCATTTAATTTTTTTCTTTCCCAAGCTTATTAAAGGTTTCATGTACCGATCTATTTTTGTTACCATATCATAATCTAGCTTATTATCGAATGCTAACTAATTTCTGGTTATATTAGCTAAAAGTATGTTTGTTTCGTCTTTTTAGTATGTATTTTTTGGTATTTTTTGTATTGGAAATGTAAAAATATGTATTGAAAATGTAAAAAGATATGCTGGAATGAAACAGTTAAAATAATTTGAAAAAATCATCTAAAAAATTAAACAAACAGAGCCTAAAATATTTGATCAGCAATGGCTTATAGACGACATATGATCCGCGGTAATTTAACGTATGGTGGAGGGTTGGGTGATTGTGAAAATATTATTTCGATTACTTATCAAATCTATAAAGTGAAAACCAAAATATACCTCTCCACGCATATAGATGATTACAATGCTACAAGGGGAGTAGTTTTCATTTCTCGATTCATTGTTTATTAACTTTCACTCCCTCCTGTTTCTATTACAAGTTATTTTGATTTGTCTAATATTTAATTTAGTATATTTATTTAATTAAAAGTAAAACCTTCAAGTATTTTATAATAATTAAGAGATCACAAAAAATATGAAAATATAATTTTAATATTTTATTTTAATAAAAAAATATTAAATGAAATTTAGAACAAATTAAATTATAGTAAGTAGTGGAGGGAGTAATATTTTCAAACTCATAACATGAACAAAACAAAAGCGAAAACTTTAATTATAGAGACAGCCATTTAGTCCAGGTGATTTAATGTGAGGCTTTTCCATGCTCATCAGGATAAAAAGAATAAGATTTGGTTACCTTTTCAATCTGTAACTTCACCTTTCATTTCTGTTGAATCTATTATCTAAAAAAAAAGGTTCAATATATATAGATTATTTGGTGACCCATTTTTCTTAAAAAATATTTTCTCCGTCCTAAAATGATTGTCCAGATTGGATTCTCAATTATAAAAAAAATTAAAATTGAAAATCCAAACTGTATAATAATTTTGAAACAGAGAAAGCATATGCTTTACAATATAGATTTTTTTTTTCTTATAATTAGCAAACGACATTTAGGACAAAATTCGAACACCTGAATTTGATTAAAGACGAATAACGTCCTCTAATCAAAACATAAGTTTCTTTTGGTTTAGACTTCAGCCATTTCAATCCGATCCACTTCTTCTTGATGACCATTTTCTACTAGCATCTTTTGTAGAAAGATTGGTCGACAAACTCTCTCTTGTCACAATATTCAAGACCGTAACACAAAACAAGAAGGACCAAACCTTTCTTGGAGATGTCACAGTATCTACCCTATTTACACTTTCTTTCTTTTTTTTTCATCCAATTAACAAAATAGATAGAAGTCAAAATTTTACAAAAAGGAAAAAAAGAAGAAGAGAGGATAAAAGAGTACCTATCTTCAATAGATTCCATTCTTATGCAAAGGCATGATTCCAGTAAACATATGACCATTTACTTGCAGAAAATTAAACATAGTAGCCTTTTTTCCTACTTTACAAAACTTTGTAGTTTTGAATATTGAGATTTTATTTAGAGTAAAAAGTTAAGTTTATATTTTCTATTATGCGAAACAGTAATTCTAATCATATTCTAATCAAAATACCTTATAATAAGAATCGGAGGGCGGGAGTACATATAACACACATTGACCTTTGTTTAACTCGGGATTGGTCTCGATAAAATTAAACTTTGTATAATCTTTGTAAAATCAAACATGGACGTTTGAAATTTTCTTTTTCCCTTTTTTCGTTGTGTATACATATTCTTTCCAAAAACACGTGTGTGGGAACTTTCATTGCATTGACAAAGCGAAAGTTCTTTGCTGCTT